ACTTACTTACGTTACTTACGTTACGTTCGTACGTACGTACTACGTACTATACTACTATACGTACGTCGTACGTACGTAGTACTATACTATCTCTCTCTTCTCTTCTCTCTCTCTCTCTCTCTCTCTCTCTCTCTCTCTCTCTCTCTCTCTCTTCGTTTTGGGTGGGTGGGGGGGGGGGGGACGAAGACCAGAAAATAATATCCATGGTATTCAAAAGTCATCACAATCAAAGTGTTTTTTGAAAAAGAAAAAAAAAAAAAGAAGAAAACCTTATACTCATTTTACTTAGAAAAATGGTCATCTAAATACTTGATTGATGTTCTAGAAAACAGTTATCTAGATACTTGATTGATGTTCTCAGCAGATGTCAAGGAGTGACTGGAATCCTCTCTGCTAGTCGGAGCAGTTTTTTATTGTTTCCCAGGCCTTGATGATATACGATGGAAAAAATTAACTACTTAAGCCTTATTTTGCTAAGTATCTTCTCATTCTTAAAATTATTATGTTATTTCTATCATAGATAGGGTGCATAATCTGTTGAATGGAAATGGATAATTTCAAGAATTAGTTATGGGGTTTTCATAAAATACTCCTACGGTAGTTGGGTGTATTGTGAGATTTGTGGTGGTTGTTGCACAAAGATGTGAATTTTTTTGTGATTATGGGTTCCTGAAAGCCTTAAGCAAGATCGGTAATCTACAGACGATCTCTCTGTAATAAAAACTGAAGCCCTCAAAAGGCTTAATGACAAGAAGGCAAGCCACTAGAATTCCCTGAAGATATAAAAATGATAAGAAAAAGGAACTAAAACTGTTTACAGATCTGTCTATACATAATCTGTTGAAATAGTGTTATACTTGAAGAGTTCAAGCACATAGGCACCGTTCTCTTAAGAAGTCATGTCAAAGGCATGTTCAGCAAATGATTTGCTACCTAATATAACAACATTGGAATCCATTTAACATGTCCTCTGTTGCTTGCAATAAGTTGATGTCATTTTATTTTTAGATGGTGCCAAAATGAATTTCGATTTTCAATTGCTGGTCAGGCATGCAAGAGTCTAGCAAACTTCTCTGATTTTTATTTATTTCTCAAATTTCCAATCTCTAACTTTTTGTAGCCTATTGTCTACAGATATACTCAGAAATTTGCAGTGTATGCAAAAAGTCATCAATGCCAGATGTGATCGAAGTCCAAAAGATGCATTATTTATTTGCAACTGTATATGAATCTGCTAGACTTTTACCAGCAGGACCTCTTCTTCAGCGATGTTCTTTAAAACATGGTACTTGGACTCAATTCAGCAAATATATGAATTTATGGTCAATTGCAGCCTTTTATATATGGGGATGTGATGGTCCAATGTGGGACTCCTTGCAAATTTTATAGAACTTTCTTTATTGATCTACGCAAACAAGCTACTTTTAGCTTGATACCTGTTACGAGCTCTGATTTCTCGATATGAAGATACAGCCTTTATTTGAGATCTTGTCTTACTTTACTGGATTTATTAAAGATAGCCTCAATGTTAACTCTCTGTAACCAAAACTTAGAATGTTACTTTCTGACCATTGGTAAGAAATGGCATATATTGGGGATTGCTTAAAACAAAATCATTATTGCAAGACAAGACTTGTCATGTAAGCAGGATGAGTTTGCATGAGGGTTTGAGTTCTAACACTCCCACCTACCCAAATTGGGAAATACCCTATAACTCTAATATCTGGGTTGAGAGAGAGGAAATAGGGACAGAAGGTGGGCTAATTCCATCATGATGCATCCAACAAGGGTCCAGGCCAGCGAACTTTCAGTCCCACACAAATGCCACCGGAAACCCTGCGCAAAAATTCTCGTTGTTGAGCATGAACATTGACATGCCCAAAGTAAGGGAGTCTTTGCAAAAATACAGATGGGAATATTAATAATACAGTTGTATTTGCTGTGAGCTCAGCGTCTCAGATGCCAAATGAACTAATACGCTAACTCAGTCCTAAATGAACTAATCTACATGAGGATTGTGAGTACACTGCATCAGGGGGGATTTTGTCTATTAATTGACGCCACTGAACTTTTTGTAATACCAAATTTATGATTATTGATAGCAAGAAAGTCCTTTTGAGGCATCTGGATTGAGAGTTTTGTTCCTTAATGGTTATGTTTTTCATCTACAGTATGTGTAAGATTGATAGAGTCATTCCTGCAGCTCATTTCATATTTGACTTTCTTGCAGTTCAAAAGAAAATTGTTAATTTCTGCTTTTCCAGTTTTGCAATTGGTTTTTATGAAGTAAATTTGGGGCTTCAAGCTTCCGATATAATTACAAAGTCGTGTCATCATTGTTCTATTCTGTAGTTTGTGTGGTTATGTTTAATACTAATGATGCTTTCCTTGGTTGCAGACTTGAATCTCTGTGCAAACATAATCATACCAGCTGGGGCTATATTAGCTGTTCCTACCCTGTTGGTTCAAACTGACGGTTCTAGCTGGGGGATTGATGCTAGCCAATTCAATCCAACTCGTTTCTTGTCGAAGGCCACAAACTGTAGTGACCATAACGATGTCAAACCGAATTTTCGGCTGACAACCTCAATAGAAGGTCTGTGCTCATCTCAAGTGGGATGTACTCTCTTTTCTTTGATTGACCACAATCAGTGCTTTAAAAATCGAACCCTTCACCAGGGTGAACCAAGCCAACTTGGCTGTCTCCGATCTCTCTCGCCGGATCTACAGGGTTTTTTTGTGTTGGGAAAAGAAAAATGAACTGGTGGGAACTGAGCAAGTTCAGGGGCTCTTTAGCCAAGACTGCCCACCCATCTGTTCAAGGGGGTTGCTAGTTTTTACAAGACTGATACGAATGATGTCAAACCAAAATTTGGCTGACAATCTCTATACATGGCCTGTGCTTATCTCTGGTGGAATGGACTACCTTTTGTTAGATATCCTTATGAGTGGTTTGTTGGGTTTGACATCTTTGTTCTTAATTAGTCCCTGGTAGAACTCTCAAAATCAAACTTTCCTCGCATAAAGAGGACTTCCATTTCCTTGATATCTTCATTGCAGTTTGGATGGGGTTACCTCAGAGCTTTGTATGAATCTTTAAAACCATACTGTTCAACCAGTATGGTACCCTTGCCAATTTAGTAGCTGTATCTGATTTTTTGTCACATTGGTCCTCACGCTCCTTTCATGTCCCAACCTCAATTCTTAGTAGTTTACTATCTTTACTTATGTCTTTAATAGCATTGCGTTATACAGGAATTTATTAGGCTTCTGGCCTGCTGTTACCTGGGGCAGTTAACTGACAAACCCATTTGGCATTCATTATCGCAACAATGAAAAATGATAAAAATAAAAAAATGATTTATGCTACATTTGGCATTCATTATGGCAACAATAAAAAAAGATAAAAAGCCAAAAAATGGTTTATGCTATAAGATGAAAGTAAAGGAATGATTCATCCTATTCTGAAGAGTTCAGGAGCAGGAGAAGCAAACTGTATTCTAGTGAACTGAGGGAATCCATATTCCGTTGGGGACATCACAGTCATTGGACTGGTTGACCATGATGGGTGGGTAGCAGGATCCACAATTTGGGTTCATGTCCTGTCCTTGCCATTTTCACGTTTTGTCGATTATCCATCATTTCATTCGATGTTGATGACCCCAATGGACTATGGTTATATACGATAGTCTATTGGATTAGCGGTATACTTGCCCCTCAGAGTGCATCACTCCTGGTTTATGATGTGTTTACTGATTCTTCGCAGGTTCAGGAGCATATGGAAGTCCACTAACTAAATGTTTGGGGTTTGAAGACCCGAATGCCAATGCAGCATTTCTCCCTTTTGGCTCTGGTGTGAGGGCATGCATTGGGCAAAAGTTTGCTGTTACTGGAATTACAGCTTTACTTGCATCCTTACTTCAGCTTTACGAGGTCTTTTTCCTCACCTTATCGATGAGTTTTGTAGTATCGGACATTGAATCCAGTTTTCATGGGAACCCTTGATTTTGACCTTGTACACCGTGTTGCATGCAGTGTTTGTGTTACATAGAGAGAGACACGCGCATACATGCATACATGTATAACATAAATACATATACGTATGTGCATTCATTTTACACGAGTGTGTGTGCGTATGTATTTATGTGATTGAGGAATTTTTAGGAATTATTTTTTGTGAAACATTGTATTTTTGGTTGAAGAGAGATATTTCATTTTGATTACTGCCTTTATAATGATTATAGAAGCTGTGCTTCTCTTTGAATAGTGTGTGAGATTATATGTTGTTGCACAATGCACATTGAAGATTAGGCTTTGCTTTTTGCGATAGTTGTTATCTTCCTGTGTATCGGGTTTTGATTCTTCAGTTCCGACATTTAGAGGGATGGTTATGAATTTTATAGGGATTGAACTCGTTGGGGGGAAGTCTTGGTTTTGATTCCGGAGTGTCGTGCATAGTGTTCACCAGTGTCTCCAGTGGAATACTGAGACTTGCTGATTGGAGAGAGAAAGAGAGTGGAATATTGAGACTTGCTGATTGGAGAGAGAAAGAGATATATAGAGAGAGGGAGAGTATATAGGTGACCTCTCGTATCAAGAGAGAGAGAGAGAGACGACTACCTAGGTGACCTCCTCAGAGCTATATTTATCTATTTCAAATGTGGCGGTTGTCTCTTTAGATTTGTTCTGACTTTTGGTGTTTCAACCCTTGCAGGTCAGGCTCGACCCAGTCTCCAAGAAGGATCCAAATCCGACAATGAGTGACAGTGTCCTACAACTTCCGCCCAGCCCAAGTATAGTACTTGTCAAAAGGGATTGCTGAAACTCTTTGGAGCTCAAATTGCTCTTTCGGTTTCTTTTTTTTTACTGGCACATTTCGCCGGGATATGGATGTGAAATAGTCTTCTTTTCACCTGGTTTCTCTCTCTCTCTCCCCGATTTTTTTTTTTTTTAACGTTGATGGTGTATGTTTTTTCCTCCCTGTTTCTCCTGCAATAATAGTTTTCTCTCCATAATGGCACCAATGGCCGAGAAAATTTAGAGCACTTGGCCGAGAAAACTAAGTGGCACTTGGGGACATTTGATGCAGTGGAGCTGAATGATATCACTACCATCACCTTTTATTTCGTTTGTTATTTTTGCTCCTTGCTGGGAGTTAATGTAATCTATGTAACAGTCAGATAGAAAGATGAAGAGAAAACAATGTGATGGGTGATATGGATATTATGTGTATGTGACCTTTTTTCTCTGAAAGTATATAAATATGGTTCTCTGCTCTGTGGATTATGTATATCAGTGGTCTAGTTCGCTGGGAACATGTAAATATTACTCGCCTTATCATAAAGATAGGATGGTATTTGCCCTGATGGTGAAACCAGTTTCTCTCTCTTCCTGGTTTAGGTGGCAATATGTTTTTACATTTTCATGAAGGCAGAATTCACCTCTCTCTCTCTCATCTGTGCCCTGGAAATCACATATGTAAAGCGCCTGTTTGTGGGATAGTTACTTTTTTCTAGAGTGGGGCATTTTATGGATCTGCGGAGTTTGCATTATGGACTTTTCAATACTTTGCAAAAAAATTTGAATATTAGGACGTTTTTCTTATTAGGGTGTCTACTAATGTTAGTTTTGATACTAAATCTGATATAATACTTATATAAAAAAAGATTATACCCATTTTGTGATATTTGAATAAAAAAGGGAGGTCTATTATAAACAATGCGAGTTAAAAAGCATTTATGGATAACAATTTTATTTTCAAAAATATACATTTAAACATAATCCAAATGATTGAAATGCATATATATATTTTAATAGTAATGCATAATTGAAATGATTTCACAAAATACCCTACTGGCGTTTCAAGTAGATCACTTATATATCCCACCAGCTTTCTGGATGGGTCTAAACAATCCTTGCAGGTCCAAACATACTACACCGACATTCTAAGATGAGTCCAAATAGTCCCTACCGGTGTAACCAGATAGGTTCAAACAATCCTTGCAGGTCCAAACATACTTCACCGGCGTCCCGATGAGTCCAAATAGTCCCTAGTGACATAACCAGATAGGTCTAAACAATCATTGCAGGTCCAAATGTACCTCATCGGTGTACCGGATGAGTCCAAATAGTCCCTATCGGTGTCCCAGATAAGTCCACACATACTTAAATTATCTCAGAAATTATTTAAGATAAAAAAGTATTAACATCATATATTCAAAATATCATTGAAATCATTAACATGAATTCACTTGAAGCAATTTAAACAATTACTTTCATTGAAATATTTGTAACTAACCAATCAAACAATTTGGATAAAAATTGCCGAAAGGTAGCAAACGAATAGGTATATTTGAAATGGAATCCAATAGGCAGTCGATTATGAATTTAAGAGCTTTTATAGAAATCTAAGGTTAAACACATAAATATTACAATTTTATGAAATGCAATTTTATAATTAATTATTTTACAGGAATAGGTAAAACTTATAATATCTAAAATTCATAGACAAACAAAAATATAATTAAATGCATAAATGAGTAAATCTCACAGTATTGGCAGTATTATAATTAGTTGTAGAAATATTAATTTTTCACATAATGATTTTACTATAAATGACATTACTTACACATAAATTTTACAGTGTATAAAAGTCATAATAATAGGCAGAAATTTTATTTTTAATAATTTAAAATGTCCAAATTTATAATAATAATAATTTTAACAAAAAAAAATGATACCATATGCGCATAAAATTACACTATAAAAATGGTGAACATACTATATTTCAGGATAATGAGATCATTTATCTATAATATTTCAGAGGGAACTTTCAGTAAAATTCGGCTAGAGAGAAGGAGTTCATTGCGTTCTTTAATTCACAAAGAGGGCTCAACGTTACTGAGAAGGAGAGGCATAATAAATAGTATTTTTACAGAAAGAGAATCCAACTCGTTCTCAATATTATTATAATATATTATTAGCCCACCTCTTACATGAGGTGCTTAGAAGGTGTTACATTAACATTTAAAGCCCACGTCCCTAGAGGACGTGGCACAAGAAACAAGAGGTGAAGGTAAAAATAGCAAAAAAACATGATGGTCCCTAAGGACCAAATTATTTGTATGGACCATCAAAGGAAAAAGGTTTTTTTTTTTAAGTTTAGGATTGTTACAAGAAGAGACTCTTAATGGCAATCAAGTAAAACTAGCTCTGATACCAATGAAAGAAATACCTATGTGATATTTTGCCAGAGAAATATAATTTTTTTTTTAAATAATAATCGTCTCTTATAATTTTGGCAAAAGATCACTCATAGACGGTCTTATTACAAACAATAGAAATTTCAAAAATAAATAACACATCAATAAAATAAATCTTAACTACTTTATGCCATTCATACAACCTAATATTGTGCTTGAGAATGTAAAATAAAAGAAAAGATGCCAGAGATTACCTCAATCGGGTTTTTAACACCCCACACCGAGTCACTACATCCAATGGTGCGGGATATGTGGTATAGCTTCAACCTCAAATCGGGATAGCTGATTTCAGCCAAACTAGGTAACTTAAAATCTGCACTAAACCTCAGCCCCTGAAATTAATTTAGATCCCCTTTAATTTTTCCAACCCTTAAAATTAACTTAGGTTTAGAGATGAGAGAGAGTACTACCTAGGATTTTAGAGAGAAACAATTAGAGAGAAAAATACAGAGGAGAGAGAGTGGGGCGTGCCCTTTCTAGGAGAGAGAGAGGTTGTATGTGTAGAGATTGGGGGGAGAGCACCCCTATTTATAATGGATATTTAGGTTTAGGATTTCTTAAGGTTTTCTCATAGTTTGCATCTTTCATGAGATTGAATCTAGACCGTTGATCAAAGTGACTTGTGGGGTGAGATATCTGCGCCATCTATTCCATAGATGAGCCATCAACATTATGGAAAGTACTTGGACTATTATCCCCTTTCTTTAAACTATTTTCCCATCAATATATTTAAATAAAATAACTATCTTGAACTCTATAAAATTGCATGATCTATCTCACATATTCCATAAAGATATGTCAAATATTATCAAGTAAATAAATACTACCAAATATAAATAAGAAAAGGTCAATATTTACTATTCATTCAAATTGACCATATCCCTTTAAAGCAAACTTACTATAAAACAAAATATGCCATGGTCAATATTTCCTTTCCAAGATTTGACTACATGCCACAAATCAAAGTCACCATAACTCAAAGTCTTGAACACAAAGCAATTGTGGGCCCCACCCACATCCCACATGTTAGGCCCATGTACACTTTGGACCCCTATTAAATTTTATAAAAGTTTTTTAAATTTAATAAAACGAATTAATATATATTTGAATTTTTTACAACTTTATAAAATCAATAATTGTATTTTTATAAGACCATAAATCATAATTAAAATATTGAGAGATTCATAAAAATTCAAATAATAAAATTAAAATTATTTCAAAAATAAAATGAACACAATTAAATTAATATGATGGAAAAATGATTCACATGGTTTTAAGAATTCAATCTGTAATAATGAGGTACTCCACCTTCAACTGTGGACTACAGACCATATTAGCTTTATCGAACCAACTCAATGTTTCTCATGACCCACAGTCCAAGCAGGGGCTCATTAGTGGATCACCAAAATCAGGTCGATGAATCAAGGGGTTGCAATCCAAATATGTGGATTACAAGTCTTCCCTTAGAGAAGAGTAAAGGTAACCACGACCTGATGCGACCACAGCTCTATGGTGCATAGGGGTATCTCTCTTACATGCTTCACCCAAAGGTGGATATCTGGCTTTCTCGAATGATCTATCAATATGCATGTTGTGTGATGGAATATGAATGAAGTTTTAGCTCCCGTCTCAGTAGGCTTACCATCACACACAAGGGTCACACAGTCCCTTGGTTTACTCATCTAGGCATAAGCTCCGACCTCATCAAGGGCTAATCCAAAACCCTCATCGGTTTAATTCTTTATACCCAGGTACATTGGGTTTTCCAACCGACTGGCCTAGATCGATAAGCACAGTTCGGTATAAGCAAACATTATTTGTTTAGTATGGTCCTCGAGTGATCACACTCCTACTAAGTTTATGTTTTATTATAATAAAAATGTTTCAATATACACTAATATAGCCTTAGGCTAAAGGCCACATAAACCTAACATTTTTTAGAATAAAATATTTGAATTTTAAGTTTTATGGTACAGTCTTTATTCAATTTTGAGGCATAAATTTTTTTTATTGTATAGAGAGTTTATTTGGAAAAAAATTTGCTGAGATTATTTTTTGGGTTGTGAAGATTACATCAAAATTTGAGAACCAAAAAGTATTTTTATCATATATTTTGTACTTCATATAATTTATAAGGAGAAAGTTTACATAAGTGCGAGGCCTCAACAATCAAATTAAGGTGCACTTAAAAAGTTCACTGGAAGAGATTGTTTTGATTCCAAAAAATTCACAAATCAATCATCTGGATTTTAAGATGTATGGACATGAGAAAAGGGGATTTCAAGTTTTGAACATAGTGCATCTTGTAATTCTTTTTCTAGACCGTCAATTTTCAAGATTTTCAAGTGCTCATAGATCGATTTAATCTACACTATTTTTGAAATTTTAAATTTCATAATTAAAGATGAAAATAAAATTCATAAAATTTATAGTATTGAAACAACATCTTTCGATATTGTTTGTAGGTGTACCTTACTTTGATTGTTTAGGGCCTAGGCCTATACAAACTATATCCAATATATAATATTTGAGAAAAATTAGACGTGATAAAAGAAATGGTAAAAGGCACACTGCCGCATTAAAAAAAATAGACCTAAGGAAAAAGGTGCGGTTTGTATAGAGCCTACCTAGGCTCTAAACGATCAAATTAAAGCATACCTTCAAGTAGTGTCGATAAATGTGGTTTCAATACTGAAAATCTTTGTGATAGTCTTAAAATATATTTTCATCTTTGTTTATAAAGTTTAAAGCTTCAAAAATAGTGTAGATTGACATATATATAAAAATCTTGAAAATTGACTGTCAAAAAATGCGTTACAAAATACATTATTTTTAAAAGTTGAAATCCATTTTTTTCACATGTCCATGCATCTTGATGTCGATATTATCAATTTAAGGATTATTGGGCATCAAAACAACCTCTTTTAGTAAAAATTTTGAGGTAAGCTTTAATTTGATTGTTTAGAGCCTGGGCTCTATATAAACTTTTCCCCTAAGGAGATGAGCCTATTTTTATGAGGTAACGTGAAGGAACTAACGCTCATAATATAACATACAAATGGATAGTATGTTCCCTTGGATATATCATCGCTCACCACAAGATACTAATAAAAACTTAAATTTCAAATAGGTTCCTTTTGAATTACTCATATTTAAAAGTAGATCTTAAATTCTAAATACATAATATATTACTAAATGTAAAGGGCACTAATCAATTTTTTATTTTTAAACCTTGTTCTTCTAATGATAATAAAGTCATCTAAAAAATTGGAAAAGAAAAAATCTTTTTAAAGCCTAGATCTAAGCAGCTTATCAAAATGGACAGCCTATGTTAATTAGGCTAAAAAAATACTTTTTAGATTGTATTTTCAATTTTTTTTTTGCGATTATTTATTAAAATGAAAATAATGTATATTAAAAATTGAATCAAACAAATGGCCTTAACATGATTTTTGAAGGTTGTTGCATCATATTACTACACAACCGTTGCATGAAATAACTGTCCAAATATAAATAGTTTATTTATTTTCTTTCTTTTTCCTTTTTCTTTTATGAATCAAGTATAAAGTATGTTCTTTAAGGGAATATATCAGGCAATACTTTTACAAAAGGATGGGTGATGTAATATAGTGCAAAAGCTGAATACTATGTATCTTTGGGCTTTGTTATAAAATACAGTTGCTGATTACGTAAGTTGTAAAACAAATGTGTGTTTACACGCTTGGTTTTGTTATATAATATAGTCGAAAACTACACAATATATAAGATGTATATGTGTTTAGTCTGATATGTTTGATATCGTGTCTAAAATTAATATTTAAAGAGTCGAGAGAGGTGGGTTTGTCAAAATCAGATCGATGTAGAAATTAGCTTAAAGACCTATTATTTGCATATCGGCGCCCAAGTTGGCTTAGATAGTATGAAATCCAAAAAAAAATTAAAAATTAAAGAAAACAAAAATAACATAACTACCAAAATAATAAAAATAAATGATCATAAAATCAAATAAAGTAATAAAATAAGGCAAATAATAATAATAATAATAATAATAATAATAATAATAATAATAATAATAATAATAATAATAATAATAATAATAAAGAATAAAAGAATGAAAGAACTTGGCACCTATGTGCAACACCACCTTACATAGATTTTTCTAAGATTTGAATTCTATTTTCCTTTTTTGCCAATTTTGATAAAAAAAAATTCGGTGACAAATGCTGTAATATTCACTATCTAGGAACCTACCTATTTTGGGTTATTTGAGCTAAGGATTTGGGTTTTTAAAGATGTTTGGTTTCCTAAAATAGGATATTATAAGTCTTTGGTATATTCTTGGACTATTCAGGGTTGGACTTTGGTTTGGGTTCAGTGTGATTCTCTGTGTCCAACTGTGTACTTGGATAGAGTGATCCAAGGTATTAAAATTCATAGTTACAATTAAAATTGGAAGGAAGTCTACAATATGGTGGCAATAAATCATTAGTTTATAATGATAGGAATGGTAGTAGCCAATGTTGAAAAACTGAATTGGTGGGGTGGGTCATCCACCCAAAAAATAACATTGGGGATTGCTAATTTTGACCATTATTTTTATTTTGTACGCCTGCATTTTTTACTTTAGTAAAATGTGGTGCATATAGCAATTTCACTGATATATAGTTTAAATTTAAGTCTGTAAGGCATATGAACTTGTCAAATCTTTTGTATGTCTTTGATTCTTAATTTAGAATCATGTCTTTTTAATATGACAAGATTTGGAATAATATACTTTTGTTGTGATGAGTTTTTGTTTTTTTCATTTTTTTGCTATAAGCCATTCATGCATTTTTCTATATATATTTCCCTATATAACTTCCAGATAATTTATGGGGTTAAAAACTAGAAGTTGAAGATAAGTTTATTTAGTGAAGAAAGCTTCGTGATTACATTGAATGACAAAATATATTAAGGCATTGAAGGAGATCAGAAGGTATATTGATTTTAAGAAAAAATTGAATTGAAATCTTCATATACTAGAAAAAAAAAAAAAAAATCTCAATATTGAACATAGCCCGTCCAATTTTTGAAAGTCAAGGTCTAAATTTCAAACAAACTTAAAATTCACAATTTTATTTTTAAAATGTTCATCTAATTATTAGGTGGTTTCCAAATTTTCAGACTGAAATAAAAGGCAAAAAAAAAGGAGAGTAAATTGTGTGAAGGAGTAGATTCCCAGTAGTTCCCAAAACTTCAGACTGAAAGAAAAAAGTCACTATACATCACTATGATCTAGTTTGTGGACATCATTTTGATATATATTGAACAAAAATCTCGATGCATGTTTCCCTATATTCATGTAATTTAAAACATTTCTACCAAAATTTTTTAAAGTAAAATTATATATAACCGCTGTTTGGTATGGTCCCATCAATATTTTTTCAACCACATAACTAATTCAATTATATTTGTTTTTTCAGATGTAATTATATTTATTTATACAGGAACCCTTGAAAGACAAAAAAGAAAAGAAAGATATCTTAGCATAAATGAATCCGCATTCACTAAACAATGGAAACCTAAAAAACAATTCTTATGAAACCTAATATCACCCCATAAAACTCCAATTCATCCCCACCAGATATCAACTGAGAAAACTCCAATTCATCCCCAATTCACATGATAATAACCCCATAAAACTCCAATCCATCTCATGTCAGATGATACAAAAAAGTCAGATCAAATTCCCAAATTCACATGATGAAACAAATTTAGATCAAAATTAAGGAGTATGATATAAAAACCATAATTTTACTTAATTATTTTTTTGGATTTTTTGAAACAGAACTACACAAATCCTACCCCATTCGAAAAAACCAAAATTTTATTGAAGGGGATCACTTTATATGGGTTGGATTGAAGGCATATAATTCAGATTAACCGTCCATATAAAAAGATGGGTTGGAGTCGAGGCATATAATTCAAATTAACAGTTGATATAAAAAAATTGGGTTGGAGTTAAAGCATGTAATTTAGATTAGTAATGAGCATCTTCTCCTTTCATTAGCTTTTTTCTTTACACCATCTCCTTTATCCATTAGCTCGTGTGTCTCTTTACACCAAATTGTTTAAGTTAATATTTGACAAATGATTTCATTTTCCCACTTAAGGCAAACCACACTTATTTTAATATTCCAAATATAGGTTATATCCTTTTTCAACTTGAATAAACTCACTCGAAAAAAAAATTATGTTCATCGAAATCTCAACTGGAAAAAAAATTATCTTAATTGAAATCTCAACTAGAAAATATAATGTATGTCTCAAGATTTAAGAGAATATCCAAATTTTGAAAGGCGATGTTGTCAAAAACTTCAAAATTCAAACTTTTCTTTTAAAAATTATAATTTTTAAATGTTTCCTATTTGAGACTAAAAACATTATTCCAAGTAGGTATTTTGAGTGAGGGAGTAAATGAGCATGCTCCCTTCATGTTTATTATTGAAGGGAGCACATATCAACGTGGCCATGTTAATTTCTACCTTATACATCACTATGATCCAGTTTGTGGTTATGAGGAACTATCCATGATCCATAATCTATTTTGATCATGGCATCAGTGTTAGAGCTTGGACATTACTTTGATATATATTTAACAAAAAAATTTAGGTGTTTATGAGCCTAAATTTTTGTTATTTAAAATGTGCCCTCCAAAATGTTCCCGTTGTAGGGAAAATTGTATACCTCCTTGGACCATACTTTCTAGTCATGACCTTCCAAGGAACAAAATAGCTTATTTTAGATGAAAACACCATTATGTATAAGCCAACAATAATCTCTTTAGAAACTAGAAATTTTAGAGAGATGGAAATTACTTCAAAATTTTTGGAGCGATAAATTATCTCAAATTTTAAGTTATTAGAGAGAAAAACTAAAATTTCAAGTTTTTAGAGAGAAAAACTAAAATTTCAAATTTTTATATAAAGGAATTATACTTTCTTTTATTTGATAGTTTTTTTATTTTACATTCTCAAACACAATATGAGGTTGTATGAATGGCATAAAGTAGTTGAGATTTATTTTATTGATGTGTTATTTATTTTTGAAATTTTTATTGTTTGTAATAAAACCATTTGGGAGTGATTTTATTTCTAAAATTATAAAGGGTGATTATTAATAAAAAAAAGTATATTTATCCGGTAAAAGATTATATACGTTTTTCTTTCAAAAATAACCATCCAGTAACTATGATGTGCTGCCCAAAATTTCATGTTAACAAAAAGTCTCCCAAGTGGGTATTTTGAGCGAGCGCGAAATAAACACTATGCTCCCGCGGGAGCATAGTATATACGCTAGTTACTAAAAAAGTTTTTAGCTCCTATATAAGGAGATAGATTTAGGGTTTTTAGTGGGAGACGGATTGAAGAAGTTGAGGGGTATAGTTTTGAAAACCCAAAACAATGGTAAGTTCTCATGCTAATCGAAGCATGCGACTTGAATTTGATCTGTTTCTGTAAACGACAGTCGATTTACCATCGACTAAATGTATCACTTTTTTTATCTGAGTAGGATGATTTGAGTCGGATTCGTTTATGTAAAAGACATCTGCGATTTACCATCAACTAAATGAATCATTTGTATGGTTTCTAATCGACTAAATGTATCATTTTTTATGGTTTTTAATATGCCAATGATGGTTTTTGGGGTTAAGTGTTGCGGTTTTGATTTGTTTGGATTAAGATTCTGATCTGGCCATCTGGTCATCTGATGGTCATCTTGATTGTACTTAGATGATTGCTGTCTTTTGAATTAGGGTTTCTAGCTATTGTGTTGTTAGTTCTGTTTTTTTATTTTTTTTTATTTTTATTTTTGCTGATTTATGATATTTTTTAGTTTATTTATAATCAGGTGTTGATCTTACATGTATTCGACAGTTTACTCCGATCTTATTAAAGTAATGAGGACATGATTAAATCTTCTAAGGGATCTACTGTATGTATTCGACAGTTTACTCCGATCTTATTACTATCTTATTAACGTAATGAGGACATGATTAAATCTTCTAAGGGATCTCTTATATGTATTCGACAGTTTACTCCGATTTAGTAATGAGGAGATAAATCTTCTAAGGAGGAAACATGTATGAAACATGTATGAAGTTTTAATTTTCACTTAACCTCTTATTCTTAATTAACAATAAAACCAGCTGTTGGTATAGATTTTAGATTTTATGATGTTAGTTTGGAACTATTGAAACTCAGTTGGGATTCAGGGGCTTGAACACTAGAGGGATGATGTCTTGCAAACTGGGTTACATGAAACTGATTGCATTTAGGTGACTTTGGAATTGATGTGAAATTTACATTTGATTGAGTGTTACATGAAACTGATTGCATTTAGGTGACTTTGGAATTGATGTGAAATTTACATTTGATTGAGTGTTACATGAAACTGATTGCATTTAGGTGACTTTGGAATTGTTGTGAAATTTACATTTGATTGAGTGGATTCATTACAGTTTCAAATGTAAAATTGAGAATTCCTTGTTATTGGGTCGAATTTGGGTTATTTTATTGACATTTTACAATACAATCATAAGAAAAGAATATTCTACCGAAAGTTTTTTAAAAAATTTATATTACTCTCTTTTCACAAGCCCACTGATTTTTTTTGGGGCCTGTTTGCCGAAGAAATTTTTGGCAAATAATTGGCATGCATTGGTTCCATATTAATCTTAGTAGAGGTCAGTCATTTTATATTTTTCTCTATAAACATGGAAACCAGATGATGTTGCCACATCATGAAGCCACAAGAATACAGTGCTCCCTTGGAGCTTGGATGCGCCCCAGGCTAGCATGATTTTTGCACACACATGAGGAACATCACACGATATGATGCGGCCAAATATGTGCTGCCTACTTGTGGGTGGAAACAATGCCTACTTGAGGGCATTATTATAATTCCCCTCCTTAAAACAAGCCCACTAAAACGAATTCTTGATACTTCTAAAGGGATGAAACTGAATAATTGTGAATCTGTGGCTTTTTGTTTGTATTTCGACAAAGCTTATGAATTCTTTGGGCAAAAGTTGAGATGGTTTTGTGCTTTGTTAAAAGATTTTGGGCAAAAATTTGTTAAGTCATCAAGGGGTTCAAAGGCCAAGGAGATTAAAACCTAGAAATCAAATTTGGCTGAGGAGATTAAAACCTAGAAATCAAATTTGGCCAAGGAGATTAAAACCTAGAAGTCAAATTTTCTGTTGACTTCGGATTTGATATTGAAGCCAAAGTCATGTGTTTTTCAGTGCTATTGTGTACAATCAAATTTCTTTCGATTTTATATTTGATTTCCTTTGAGGTTTTTTGAGATTAAATTCAGTTTCTACTTTCTAGATGCTAATTTATTTTTTAAGTGCTTGGTTGGTTAGTACATGTTCTTGTGCTTTTTATTTAATTTAATGAATAGGTTGGATAATTCATTTTTTACATTTTAGTTGCATAAGAGAAATAGAGGTAGAAAATATCTTTTTTTGTTGATCAGACTTCCAGTGACTTAGACAATATATAGAATAGAGACAAATACGAAATTGAAATTCATACTATTACTAGATCACGTATTCATGTTATTCTTTGTCTTGTTATTTTTTTATAATTTTAGACAACATATTGAATGGGGACAAATACAAAATTGAAATTCGTACTATTACTAGATAATGTATTCATGTTATATTCATGTTATTCTTTGTCGTTTTATTTTTTTCATAATTTTTTGTTGCTTTTTAATTTATTAACTGCATAAGAAGTCATAACATATTGGACTCTATAGCTATGGAGTCCCCATCCCGCATTTGATAACCTTGTCGACAAGTGATTGTTCTATAAAGGACAAATACAAATGAAATAACTATCATAGAGAAAGTCAATTTGGCATGCAAAGGCAAGAGAGCCCTTGAAGAGGTACAATGGTTGTCATCATCATCACAGTCTCCAAATCCTTAGCAAATTATACCAATATTTTATAATTGTCCTCCTTTTCTTTGTTGATAATAGTTTGTTTGCTTAAGTTATAGGCATGTAAGTGACATTTTATTGCAGTTGATTATAGCATGAAGTTTTGTGTAGATTTTTTTTCTTCTTTTGGGAATTTTGATGGATTTTGCACAAAATATTATATTTTCTTTTAGAAATCATGGCTATAACGTAGAGTAACAATACTAAATGCACATTTTTAAGTATAATTAAAGATAGAATGGATTGGCCTTCATACGATGCCATTTATCCAGTACACCGAGCCACTGCAGTTATTTAATACATGCTGATGTTTGTCCTATATAACGGTTGAATCACTCATGGAATCAACATGTGAAGAATTAAAGTGGTCAAATAAGAAGTAACACAAGGGCAGAACCAAAGGAATAATCACTTTTTTATTATAGATCTTTTTTATTTTTTCGGCTAATTGTTTCAAACTCTGGGATATATGTCGTGTTTGTTCACCAAAATAATTATTTAATAAGCAAAGGGTAACATGAATTTATTGTAGTTATTGTGGTTAATAATGATTTTGAGTGTCTCTGTTTTGTCAAATGTGACCTTTTTTTTCTTGATATTCCCAAAATTTTATGTGCTTCCCAGCCGAAGCAAATTCATGAGATTAAGGATTTCCTTCTCACTGCACGACGCAAAGATGCGCGGTCGGTGAAGATTAAAAGGAGCAAGGACGTGGTGAAGTTTAAGGTGCGATGTTCCAAGTACCTCTACACACTTTGCGTATTTGATTCTGAAAAGGCTGACAAATTGAAGCAATCCCTTCCACCAGGTAACTGCAGTTTCAAATTAGAGAATCAACAATGCATTGTCTATTAGTTTTGTGTTTTTGAGAAATTACACCCCCGGCTGACAAATTTTATATCCTACAGTTGGGATGATTGTGACATTCTTATAACAAACGAAAATAGTTTTATTGTATACTATATGATCAAATTCTTTTTGACAAGTAATTGTAATTTTATTAAGAGAGCGATTTTGATAGGCTGAATCAATGGTTTAAAAAGCGGATCGGTGACCAAGATCGGGCGAAATTACACCCCCAGCTGATGAATTTTATATCCAACAGTTGGGATGATTGTGATATTCTTATAACAAAAGAAAATAGTTTTATTGTATACTATATGATCAAATTCTTTTTGACAAGTAATTGGAATTTTATTAAGAGAGCGATCTTGATAGGCTGAATCAATGGTTTAAAAAGCGGATCGGTGACCAAGATCGGGCACTTCAAAAATTGATCCGGATCGGGAATCGGTTGAATCGGTCGGATTAAAGTTTCAAAAAAATCCGAAAAAATTATTAAAATTCATTATAAATGTTGTTTTTTAGGAATCCAATAAAAAATGAGGGTACCATATTATTAACTTTCATTTTTTTTATCAATTTGTGAATATTGAGATGTTCTTTCCCTGTATAAATTTATTTTAACTATTAAATTTGCATCACATAAAAGAAAAATCATAGAATTATCATGGATAAAATATATAATTATATATAGACTATTATAAAGAGTAGACTAATCAATGAAAGAATGGCCATTAAAATCTCGTTTTTGCAAAAAACCTTAACCCGCTAAAAAAACCCAAACTATTACAGTTAACCAACTATAATCCAAAATTATTACAACTTCACTAATTATAATATTATATACTGAAATTATAATTATTAGTTTACATTTTATAATTATTTTATTAGACAAATAATAACAAATTAAAAATATTTTATAATAATATCTAATTTAAAATGTATTATTGACAATTGTAAGAAAATTAGTACATTACATGATTTATAATGTAAAAATTCATAAATAAAATAAAAGATTTTGGTTATCAATGTAAAAATTAATAAAATGCGTATAAATTTTGGAAATAAAACTTCAATTCTTTAAAAAATTATTTTTTTAGGTTTTTATAATAAATTTATTAAAAGAGATTGTTAGTAGAAAGATGGAGATTTTAAATACAATAAACTTTTTATTTTTATTTTTTTCTACCTTTCATATTATTTACAAAAATAATTATACCACTATATACAACAAAAATTAACTGTTATATAAAAAATTAATTTTTTTATTTTTCATTTTTTTATGTCTTTTATATTATTTACAAAAATATTTATATTTATACCAACCACTAATATACACAACAAAAATATTTATATTTATACCAACCACTATATATACAACCAGTGTTTTAAAAAACGGCGAGTCGAATTGGACTCGCCCGGTTCGACTCGGAAACAAGCGTGCTCGAGCCGGTTCTAACAAAAAATCGGGAGCCGCTTGGTTCTAGAGTGGAACCGTCGGTTCCCATCTGGTTCTATCCGGTTTAGCTCGATTCACACACGTAACGCATGACACGCACGTGCGAGCGTGCCCCACGTACACTCACACGCGCACATGTGTGTACGAGCGCACGTGCGAGCGTGCCCCATGCGCACTCACATGCGCACACGTGTGTCCGAGCGCACGTCACACGTGCACACGTGTGTCCAAGCACATGTGCGAGCGTGCCCCACGCACACTCACACGTGCACACGTATGTCCAAGTGCACGTGCGAGCGTGCCTCTCGCACACTCTCACATGCACACATGTGTCCAAGCGCACATGTGAGGTTGCCCTAATATTCTTATACACATTTTATAGTTCATATTGTATAGGTATTTATGTATCAAAATTGAATACATATCTTTCGATGTTGGATAATTTCCAAACATCATTAAATGAAAACGAAATGTAAATATAGTCTATTAATCAGTAATTTATAATCACATGTAGGTAGATGGCTTGATGGTTATGACTTTGATTTTTTAACTTGAGGTTCCAAGGTCGAATCCCTTTAGGCATGTGTTGCATTCGAATCCCCTTGGGCATGTGTTGCATTTTTGTTGTGAATATAGTGGTTGGTATAAATATAAAT